GGATTCTTCCACTCACTCGTCCGCAGTACAATTCGTTGATACCTTCTTGTTTGAGGCTCATGCATCCGCCATCCGCTGCCTCGCCTTGTCCCCTCGACCAAATGCAGATTCGACCGAGGAATCGCCAAAAGTCATTCTGGCGAGCGGTGCAACGGACGAGACTATCAAGCTTTATTCTTTGTCGGCCGCCTCTCTTGAGGTAAACGAGCAGTATCCCTCTATCCCGACCCTCGCGGGTAACAAAATCCTCGAGAATCCTAAGAATCGAGAGCTTGGCACATTGCTACATCACTCTTCGAGTATATCTGCTCTTCATTTCCCATCACGCTCGAAGCTTTTGGCTGCTTCGGAGGACAACACTATCTCCGTCACCCGGACTCGCGACTTTGCCGTTGTATCTACCATCAAAGCCCCCCGCCCGAAAGTTCAAGGGAGACCTAGCGGAGACACAGCTCCTCCCGGAGGGTCACCGTCTGGTGTAAATGACTTCGCCGTGCATCCCAGTATGAAATTGATGCTCAGCGTGGGGAAGGGTGAGAAATGTATGAGGCTTTGGAACCTGGTCACGGGTAAGAAGGCTGGTGTGTTGAGCTTCAGTAGAGAGATTCTACAGGCGGTTAAAGAAGGCAAGTGGAGTACCGGCGAGGGAAGGAAGATCGTCTGGGACTCTAAGGGCGAGGAATTTGCCGTTGCATTTGAGTGGGGGGCTGTTGTCTTCGGAATTGTGAGTGCTTCATACTCTTCAGCCTATAATGTATGAGTCTAACCATGTCCACAGGATTCAACCCCAATTTGCAGAATATTCCCAACCCCACGGAGTAAGATCCATCAAATGAAGTATATCAACAAAGACCCATCCACTGAGGAGGGTGACGAACTACTTGCTGTCTCAACAGAAGATGGCAGAGTTATCTTCTACTCCACCAAAAAGGTGCAAAAGCCACAAGATGACGATGATTCACCTATCCCTTACGCCGAGGCCGTTGCTGAACTTGGCGGTAAAGCTTCTGGTTTCCCGGGAAGGGTGAAGGATTTTGAGATCTTAAGCTTGAAAGGTGAAGCAACAGGTCCCCAAGACGGTTTCTTGGCAGTCACGGGCAATAGCGAAGGCGTCATACGTGTATGGTACGTGCCTGGAAAAGACCTCGCTGGCAAAGGGAAGAGTGGAAAGACCAGTAAAACCACAGACGAGAAAGTTTCCAAAACCCCTCAGGTAGGAAAACTTTTGGATGCTTATGAAACCGGAAATCGGATTACCTGTCTTAAGGGATTTGTTATGCTGCCTTCGGAGGACCCCTCAAGTCTTTTAGATTCCGAAGAGGAGTTTGAAGGCCTAGACAGTGAGGAGGAAGAGGAGTCTGAGAGTGAAGAAAGTGATGCTTAACCATTTGGATGTCAGTTGATGATTCCAGTTTCTCCTGTATACCCTACGATTTGTTGTTAGACCAGAAGCATGTAAAAGAAAGCCAAATCTTTGCCAGAAAAAGTTGTCTAGCGCCTTCAATCTCTCTATTCATTTTGATTTTCATTTTTCTTCTCTTTGAATATCAAAGTCCACTAGTCTCTCAGGAAAGGCTAATAAAGTCAGGGACGAGTGGGATCGTCCGTCACGAGCTAGGGACAAGAATAGAAGAAGTGAACAATGGAATCAAAGCGAGGAGTTCACTTAATGCAATTCAAGTAACAAATAACTACAGTCCATGGTAGAAGGTCCCCAATCTGTTCTTTAGAAGCCATTCACTCATTCGGAAGATCTCAATTGAGTTGAGTCAACTGGTTAGGCGGTGACTCACAGCGAGAGAGAAAAAAAAGGTCAAAGGGACCTTTCACCGCCCTACAACGCACTCACTCCACTGCACAAAAGAAACAAACCCCACTGAGTGGCCGACCCAAACTGCTATCATATCGCCTCTGTTCCCGCAAGCTGCAATTTTCATCCATCACCACGCTCTCGACCCTCGCCGGTTTTCTACTCCCCCCACATTAGCCTCCTCCTTCCTCCGAACAGCTACTGTATTTGGGTCTAACATAGCAATCATGGCTGCCAACGGCGATTTTTCCGATGATGAATCCCAGCCGGGATCCCCCATGCTTAATGCGAACGGTCATGATGATATTGAAGAACAAGAGCCCCTCGACCAAGAGGAGAAGCCTCTCAAGTCTGCGATGAAGAGTGTGCCCCCTGTTTCCCAGCCCAAGCGGCCGGAGCTGCCCGAACAGCCAGACCCCACTACCCTTGACCTGTCGACCCTGACCCCTCTGTCGCCCGAAATCATTGCGCGCCAGGCCACTATTAACATTGGTACCATCGGACACGTCGCTCACGGAAAGTCAACGGTGGTCAAGGCTATCTCAGAGGTTCAGACTGTCCGTTTCAAGAACGAGTTGGAGCGAAACATCACAATTAAGCTGGGTTACGCCAACGCCAAGATCTACAAGTGCGACAACCCCGAGTGCCCTCGCCCAACATGTTTCAAGAGTTTCAAGAGTGAGAAGGAGATTGACCCTCCCTGTGAGAGAGATGGGTGCACAGGTCGTTATAGGCTGTTGAGACATGTCTCGTAGGTGACTCCGTCTACTATATTGCTATTCAGCCTTAATTGCTAACCTTTTTACTCCCCTCAGCTTCGTCGACTGCCCCGGTCACGATATTCTGATGAGTACCATGTTGTCAGGTGCCGCTGTCATGGACGCAGCTCTTCTTCTGATTGCCGGAAACGAAACTTGCCCTCAGCCCCAAACTTCGGAACATTTGGCAGCTATCGAGATTATGAAGCTTAGCCATATTATTATCTTGCAAAATAAGGTTGATTTGATGAGGGAAGAAGGAGCTCTTCAGCATTACCAGTCGATTTTGAAGTTCATCCGTGGTACTGTTGCTGATGGCTCTCCTATTATCCCCATCTCCGCTCAGCTCAAGTACAACATTGATGCTGTCAACGAATACCTCGTTTCCCACATCCCTGTCCCTGTCCGTGATTTCACCGCTTCGCCACACATGATTGTCATCCGTTCGTTCGATGTGAACAAGCCTGGTGCCGAAATTGATGAGCTGAAGGGTGGTGTTGCTGGTGGTTCCATTTTGACTGGTGTGCTTAAGCTTAACGATGAGGTCGAAATCCGTCCTGGTCTCGTGACCAAGGACGAGAACGGCAAGATTCAATGCCGCCCCATCTTCTCCCGGGTTGTTTCTCTCTTTGCAGAGCACAACGACCTGAAGTTCGCTGTTCCTGGTGGTCTGATTGGTGTCGGTACCCGTGTGGACCCTACTCTGTGCCGTGCTGATCGTCTTGTCGGTTTCGTCTTGGGCCATCGCGGACGTCTGCCCGCCATTTACACCGAACTGGAGGTCAACTACTTCTTGCTGCGCCGGTTGTTGGGTGTCAAGACCGCCGACGGCAAGCAGGCCAAGGTTGCTAAGCTGAGCAAGAACGAGGTTCTGATGGTTAATATCGGTTCTACCGCCACCGGTGCTAAGGTCATGGGCGTCAAGGCCGATGCCGCCAAGCTGAGCTTGACCAGCCCTGCCTGTACCGAAATTGGCGAGAAGATTGCCATCTCTCGCAGAATCGACAAGCACTGGCGTTTGATCGGTTGGGCAAACATTATGGCGTAAGTAATCTTTCTATTCCATCATAGGATTTTCCTGGACGATAGATATCTAACTTTATAACAGCGGTAACACGCTCGAACCTATCCTGAACTAAGCGAGCTATCATGTGCGTGTATATGTAGCTTGACCTTACCGGGCCAGCTGGAAGGGGAATGAAGGAAATCCAAATTTCTGGTTCCCTCTGTTCCTCGGACAATAGGCCTTGAAGGGTTCAAGCTTCATGGGGAATCTACCACAGGAACAAATTAAGGCATCTGTTTTTTACCCATGAATAGAGAACGCAGGAGGACCAATCGCCGTCCATGCTTCTTGGTAGGAGTGTCAAGGGGAAGAACACTTGGGATATCCCGCATTCGCGGCCTATGCAAAGGGTCCCAAGAACCAAGAGCCCATTATGTCCAACGGGTGATGGATGGATTGGGGGGATAAGTTGTTACGGATGGAGTAGGACACTACTTCTTTGACGTGTGTTATGACGCTGTTCAGTGGAAAAATTCTTCTATGTTCATTTTTATTACTTCTTTCTTATTCTTTCTACTTGCGTGAACCTATGTAGGGGCTACATATAGGGAGATGACGAATGCAATGAAAAAGTCAAGCATTGGGTAGATGATTACATATCGGGAAGATGTGAAGGCCTTGCCCTATACTCGCTCTGGTAATAATGAGTACATTTATGGTTAATTTCACAATGGACACTATATCCATATTTCTCCCCGAGGGAGTACTACTCGTAGTATACCTTTGGATAAATACCGAAGTAGACCTATATAACCATGATGATAGGACTGCGATGTCTCTTACTCTCCCACATCTGTCTGGATAATTCAGGATATTAATTTTGAGCTCGTGGTTTTAGAATTAAATACATTGGGGGTATCGCAAATATATACTATGGCTTAGGTGGTCTCTTCATCTATCCTAGCCCTCCTATGCTAAATATAGCTCTACAGAACACCCAGGCTACTAACCTAGCAGTAATTTATTCCTACCGAATTTCAACGGACTATTGGCGATCCACTCAGCCTATTGATTGAATTTCCTATTGTGATTTATTCACAGGCAACCACAATAGGTAAATGACATACACACTGTACATACAATGGATACATTCTTGGTTCCACCGTATCAAAACTGTGTAATGGACTAGTAACAACAACAGGTGACTAAGGCACTCTCCATTCTCCCGCAATACTTCAGAGCACAACTTGTTTGGAATGTTACTATCAACCTGACAAACAACACAGCACTTCCTTGACATTAGGGCAAAGCTGTTGTTGTGTTCACTTCAACATGTATATACTCGAGGTAAGCTCCTTGTCTTAAAAATCTCCCTGAAGAACTCCATGCCTCCGCGGTGACACCTGTCTGGTTATGATAAAGAGCTATAGCTGATCTGGCTTACCGTGGCGGTTATAGCAATTGGCGCGTCTCCTCGACCGCCCGTTCTTCCCATGGAAGAATGTCCTTGTGGGATTCTCTTTGGGGCAATTTGTTCTCGAAGGTCTGCTGTCTCTCCGTCAATATAAGGTCCTGCAGCGAACAAAGCCTCCACAGGTTTTGCAAAATGAGGTGTCTCAGAAGGTCTTCGATCAAAGTCAAGTAAGCATGCGCATCATCCATCCAGGCCCAGCGTCACACCTAACCGCATCTCCAGTCTTACGGTCGCGCGAAAGCGAAGTTCGGCTTCGTTGCTGGTCTCTATGGTCAAATTCAGAATCTTGCGTTTATCTACGGTGATATCCTCCCCAAGCTCTGGGGAGCTAGCGGTCTCTTGTTGGCACAGTACTTCCCTTCTCGGTTTCAGGGCGAAATCACACAAACTCTAGTGTTTCTGTTTGGGTTCAACCTGATTAGCACCATTTTGTCACTGCCAATCTCGTACTACAACACTTTCGTCTTGGAAGAGAAATTCGGCTTCAACAAGCAGACACTCAAGCTCTGGGTTACGGATATGCTGAAGGGTCAGATGCTCGGTATTGTGCTTGGAGCGCCCATTATTAGCGCAGTGCTCAAGATCGTCCAGAAGACCGGTAACTCGTTCTTCTACTACCTGTGGCTTTTTGGTATCTTCGTCCAGGTCTTTGCCATTACCATCTACCCGATCGTGATCCTGCCATTGTTCAACAAGCTATCGCCTTTGGAACCTGGTGACCTAAAGACTGGCGTTGAAAACCTCGCCAAGAAGCTTAACTTCCCTCTCCAGGAACTTCACGTCATCGATGGTAGCAAGCGGAGTGCTCACAGCAACGCCTATTTCTACGGACTGCCTTGGAAGAAGCATATTGTTATCTACGATACTCTGATTGAGAAGAGTGAGTCCGAGGAGGTGGTCGCTGTTCTGAGCCATGAATTGGGCCATTGGAGTCTCAGCCACACCACCAAGCTGTTCGGTATCGCTCAGGTATGTTAACCTGCTTGATGATCGTGTGGGACAGGTCCAACTGACTGTTGTAGTTCCACATGTTCTACATCTTCGCTCTTTTCTCAGTCTTTGTAAACAACAAGTCCTTGTACCAATCTTTCGGTTTCATTAACGAACAGCCTATCATGATTGGATTCCTTCTGTTTTCGGATGCTCTGGCGCCAATGGATGCCGTTGTCAAGCTTTTGATGAACATCCTCAGTCGCAAGTTTGAATTCCAGGCTGGTATGTTCTTCTGTTTTTGTTGTGGTGTGGTTATTGTGCCATGATCAAGGGCTAACAATCATTCAGATGCGTTTGCTGTACAGCTTGGCTATTCCGAGAAGCTCGCCTCGTCTCTCCTCAAGCTCCAGATCCAGAACTTGAGCACCATGGATGCCGACTGGATGTACGCCAGCTATCACTACTCTCACCCGATCCTTTCCGAGCGACTCAAGGCTCTCGGCTGGAAGGGTGGAAAGGTCACGGATTATAAGGCGGAAGATGATGAGAAGCCCGTTAAAGCTGCTGACCGCGAGCTGTGAGCCATTCTGATGCTGCTATCTTTACTCACATTCTCGGTGATTGTTCAGACTTTTGGAAAATTTCGGTTATTCGGTCCTGTAGGACGGGGTTGGTGTTTTTTGTAGAAGTGTGGGAATCCATCATTCAGAAAGAACAGTAATAAAACAAGAAAGAAAACTCCTCTGGTACGCCAAATACAAGATGCGTGGCTTTTGATACCCAACCGAACAGAATCAATCCCATAGCAAGATGATGCCAACAAATCCTTTCAGTCATAGACCCATAACAGCCTCCTTTTTTCCCCTTCTATTTTCTCTCCCTGGCTTTCCCTTTGCCGTCGGATTTACTCTTCGGCTTGGGTCTCAGCCTTCGCTTTAGCCCTCTTCTCTGCCAATCTCCTCTCCTTCTTCTTCCGCTTCCTTTCCTCCTTATCAAGAGCACCGGCCTCCTGTTCCGCATCGTCTACCTCCATCTGTCCCTGCACATCATTCTCGTCCTGCATTACGTCGCCATTCTCACCCTCCTGGAACTTCTTCGCATCCTCCCAATCCCCGTTCGCTCCCACTGGCTGCGCATCTCCCTCCTCCAGCTTGGCAAGCGCCAAATCACGTCCTAGGACCTCGCCCGCCAGGCCGGCCTTCACGCGCTTCAGGTTGTGTATCGTGAGGTTCGGCGCAGCGGCTGTGGTGCGCGAAACGGGGCCATGCTCGCTGATACCGGCGTGGGTTGGTATGCGGGGTCTGTAGCGGCGAGGTCGATGTAGGCAGCGAGGAAGTCATGCGCCGCTGATTGAGAGATGGACTTGGAGTTGAGAATGAATGTTGGGGGGAGGGGCGAGGGGCCTGTAGCCATTGTGACGGTTTGTATGTTCGATCGATGGTATAGAGTCGTATAGTTTTTCTCCTGGTAATGGTATACCGTGCGCAATTGAAAAGAAAGAAAAAAAGTCCGCCTATAAATCAAATATCAAAAAATTGGGTCGTGCATGCGCAAACGTTAAGACAGAGAGAGAGCTCAGGTATATCGAGATCTGAAAAGAAAAAAAGTTGGAGGATGGAAAGGTGGCCCGTGCTCTCTCCGCCGGAGGTTCAATTTTCGTTCCGCCCATCAATTCGATACTCCAAGCGGTCTCTACCTCCCAACCCCGTCAATCAATCTCTCTCCAGATCCCACGCCATCCTTCTTGCTCTTCTTCTTAAACCACGTGGACCATTCTCGGTGCTCACTGTCCATTCGAATTCGCAACAATGCTTTGCTTCCGGTGCAGGGCTATGCCCTCCGCTCTGAGGACGTACTCGTCCCCGATGTCCATGTCGAGGTAGGTATCAAAGCATAGGGCTACCATAACCCTCCATGAGCCAAACCGCATCCCATAATACCCGGCCTCAAGGACAAGCTCGCAGTACTAACAGCTCTAATCCAGATACCTGAGTCCCAAAACCACAACAACCACACCTTTCAGCACCCTCTCCTCACCACTCCGCCCCATGACCAACTTCACCACCACCATCCGTCCCCAACTGCAGACCCTAAGCAACACACAACTCCCCTCCGCGGCTACACCATCCGCCCAACAGACCCGCTCTTTCTCCGCCAGTGCCTCCCTGGCCGGTAAGCGCGCGACCTACAACCCCTCGCGACGGGTGCAGAAACGGCGTCACGGATTCTTGGCCCGGGTGCGGTCGCGTGGAGGACGGCTGATCCTCCTGCGGAGGAGGGCGAAGGGCCGCAAGTCCCTGAGTTGGTAGATGGGCCTCGGGGACTACGTTGATTGCTGGGTGATGAACAACACGCGGGATCTGTATGATGGGGCTGCCTGAGCTACATGGTTTGTTCTTTTGTTCGTCGGTTTTGAGGGCTTGAGGCTTTCTTTTTTTTCGTTGTCGGGGCAAGGCTACTTACTAATGCCTTGGATATAACGGGACGTGATAGTCCTACTGTACCATATACAATGCATTGATCTGTTTTATGTGCGATGTGTTGGGGGGTTTTTTTCTTTCTTTCTGGTAGATATATAATCACAGAGTTCTACGTGTATTAGACGATGGCTTATAGTGCGTAGATACTGGCAGCATTTCTCAAAGAAAAAGAAAACAAACATTAGATTGAGTTTCCTAATCTATGGGTTTTCTATTGCTGCGGTAGTTGCCTGTCTTCGTCTACTGGTCGGTTGTTTCATGCCAAATCTTGATGTATACCATTCCAATCATCGTAAAATATCCGGTTCGTTATTGAAAAACATCACTCGTCGTCATCTTCGTCATCTTCATCATCTTCCGATCCAGTTTCATATTCGTCATCATCGTCTTCGTCGTCGGACTCCTCGTCCTCGTCATCACCAACCTTCAGGCCGTAGTCGTCCTCAAAGTCCTTGAGCGGCTGCACCTCGGGAGTGAAACCGGACGACTGGAGACCCTCCTTGATAGTCTGAGCGAACTGGTTAGCTTTGTGCGCTTTAAACGGTTGGACAGTCAGTTGTTATCATACCTCTTCAAGCACGGTAGCGCAGGTAATAACGATGTTAGCCGTCTTGGGATCAAACAGGGGAAGAATGATGTCCCGGAGCGCGCCCTTAATATCGTCAACGCTAATGTTCCGAACCTGCCGAAGCATCTTCTCCTTGTAGTCGCTGGGCAAGTTGCGCACGACCTGGCGGGTAAAGCTGCCTTGGGCTGCACCGGCAATGGTCGCCTGCTCGTTGGCATAGCTGACCACAATGCTGCTGATCGATCCCTCCAGCATCAGAGGGTCGAACGGAATAGCACCGGACAGATGGTCCTTGACAATCTGCTTGCTTGACTCGAAGGCCTTGTGAGCGTTAGGGGACCGGTACACGTCGAAATTGACAAAGCCAGTGTCGATGTTGTAAGCAAAGTTGGTGCCATATGCCAGTCCAGTGCCACGAACTGCAACCCAAAGAGGACCCTCAACTGCATTCATGTAGGCAATTGCAACCAACAACGCAGGAAGTCTGGGATCATTGTACGAATCAAGGCCCCGAGCGGTTGCGTACGCGAACGACGAGTCAATAGTGGGCATAGGAACCACATAGGACTCTCCACCCAATTTCTGACCGGCCTCGCTCAGCAAAGCTCTTCTTGCTGTGATGGGCTGGAGGGTAGAAATCGCGCCAAGTCGCTCGACAAATGGCTTCCAGGAAGAGACAGGACTCTTGAGTTTCTCAAGATCAGCAATGACCAACACTCGCATGTTTTCGAACTGGAACAGTGCCTTTCGGATTTCTTCCATGCGGGAGACCACGACTTCTGGTTCCTCAGCCAACTGCTTCTTGATCCTCTTGAGATAGCGTGCCTTCACTAGGGTGCTTCGGGCGCGGACTATGGACTCAGCTGCGTAGTGGACCATGACATGCACTGCTGCGAGCATGTCATCGCCACTACGCTTGGAATCAGGCACGTCGGAGAGAAGGCGACTGGTAATTGCTCGCAGTCGCTCCACGTCGAAGATTGAGTTCCAGGACAGCTCCTGAAGCCATGCAATCGCCGTGCTATACTTCTCCAGCTCGACTTGGAAGGAGATACGCAGCATTTCTGAGTTGCCGAGACTTCTGGCATTTTCCATCGCATATCCAACTGTGTCCCTCTCCAATTCAACAACAACCTGTTCGAAGTTGATGGTTTTTCCATCACGCTGAACTGGGAGGTTGAAGAAAGCTTCAGTGTAGATAGAAAGAAGGGGACGAAGTTGAACCGGAACAGACTGAGCTGAGATAAGAAGGGAAAGCTGGACGAAATTGCTAGGAATATGCTCAAAGTGGATAAACAGAGGCATTTCGGAGCCATCGGCGTCTACGAGCTTCTGGGCCGTGTGGTCAGGGCGTCCCGCCTTCAAAGCAGCACCAGATCTGGCCGTGGTAGTTTCCACAAAATGGATTGATTCAACCCCGGGGATGCTGAATTTCTCCAGCATCTCCTTGGGAATCTCCTTGTCGTTCTCGGCTTTTGCTTTTTTGAGCTTCTCAGCCAGCTGCTTCAGGCCTGCTTCACCAAGACGCTTTTTCTGTGCTGCCACTCTGGCTTCTTCCTCCTTCTTTACCGTCTCAGACATCTTCATAGATGGCACGCCCAAAATAGTGACATGGGGAGCATCCGAAATCCATCTCTTAATGAAACTTCGCCATTCATTCTCACTCCACTTCTCCAGTACGTCGTACTCTTTCAAAGTCGCAACATCCAGGAGAGTCGAACCATCCCTCTTTCCAAACAGGAAATCCGAGATAACGTACTCGGCGAGGGAGGAAGCGGAGCTTTCAGTAGAGAATTTCCAGGTCCGCCTTTGTCGGTCAATACATTCTTTGAGATAGTTCATGTCTAGCTCTTTCTCCATTGCATCCTTCAGCACTTCGAAGAAGCGCTGTTCCACTTGGGCTAGCTTATCGGTTTCCACACTGGTCAGAGTGAACCGAATCTCAAGAGAGGGGTGGTCTTCAGTGGCATAGTAGACGGCACTTGCCAGTTGTTCCTTTTCGACAAGTATGTTGTCTAGGAGTGAAGCGGATGATCCAGCAAGGTACAAAAGTGTAACATTGAGGGCCCCAGCTTTTAAAGTGTGAGCATAGTTGCGAGATGAAAGGGAAGGTTGGCTGCTTACTTTGAACAGGATCTGTAGAATCCGGTCCCAGGAATCTGATCTCGATCTCTCCAAAAGACTCATCTTCTTCGGGAAATTCTACCTTCTCCACAATAGACTTTTCCAATGGCGGGGCCTGTTTGGAGTCCACCCATGGTCGCTTGAACGGAGCATCTGGACTTGGGATCACATCTAGAATGGTATCTTCAAATTTGTCCAGTGTCTCAAGCATATTGGCATGGTCGACCTCACCCGTGATGATCAAGCACAGGTTTTTCGGTTGATACATCTCTCGGTGAAATTCTCTAATTCTCTCTGCCGTGAGAACGCGGAGCTGCTCCATCATACCACCAGTCTCATAACGGAAGCCCACACCATGTGGGTAAGTCAAACGACGAGCACTCAAGTCTATAAGTTCTGCGGAGTTATTCTGCACACCCTGCATCTCAGAGTACACAACGCCTGCATCGTTTCCAGTTCCGTCGACGTGATGTACTTCTGTGTAGCAGCCTTCGTCTGTCAAGGTTGGAGCTATTACATGCTCGAGGTATACAGGCAGAATCTGTGCAAATCCTTCCCAGCCTGCTGTGTCAAGCGTGTACGCCGTATGGTCTGTAGCTGTCCAGGCGTTGGTACTAGAATAAACCCGCGTAGCGAGCTTATCAAGAAATCCCTTGTATCTGTAATTACGAGAGCCCATGAAGCATAAGTGCTCCAACGTATGCGGGGCTCCGGAATCATCATGGATTTCCGTGGCAAGGACAAAGTATCCTGTTACTTTAGGGCCTTTTTGGTCGATGACCACGACCCGCATACCAGTTCTCTCAGATTCATACTGGACAAATTCGCTTGGCGAGTAGTCCGGTTTGAATTTCTGTAGTAACTTGAAATGGCTTTTCTGACTCGGGGACATTTTGCTAACCGACCCTGAATACCTCTGACGATGTATCTTAAACCCAGAGTCTGCGATCGTTGTTTGTGACAATGATCTGTACAGGGGTCAGTAGGCGATACTATATAGCGACGCTAGACCACAAGATAAAGCACGGATTTCACTACTAAGTCAAAGCAAACTAAGATACAAATAGGACATTGAAGAAGCAGGTCAAAGTGAACAGCATCCACAAAGCATGCGGAAACACATTCGGTGATATAATACCCCCAATGGGTAAACAGTGGCTTTATGCCACTTGATTGAAGAGGGGCTGTTTCCACTTTTTTGCTGGCTTTTTTTTTTTCTCTTTTTTCTTCTTTCTTCCCAAAAATAGCGAGCTGACGATAGGAACTTACATGGATCGAATAGGGTTTGCCCAAGTCAGGCCTCGTAAGAAGAGTCGGGACAGCACGATGGACTCTGCTTAACAGTTGATATTAATGTTACAAGGACGTCGTGGACAGTTTGGCCGCAGTTGGGTTTCGGTCCCCTCGAGCTGTGACGGAGAGTGGAGTTTGGGTCCCGTTGTTTTAGAGGATCACCACGCCAACAAATGCTCAATTACACATGTAGAGATACTCAGGACATGACCTCTGCATAGGTCAATGAGAGTTAGAAGGAGTGAAAGCAAAAGAAATAGTCATAAGGAGCAACAAAACTAAGTCATTAACAACTCATAGTCCACAAAGATTCCTCCAATTGAATGGTCGTGAATTGGGGCCAAGGCGGTGAAAGCGATGAAGTCACATGGGGTTGACAGCTTGTTTCCTTCTTCTCCTCTGCTTGCAGCTCCCAACCATTCCAGGCAATTCAATTTTCAAGGGGCTTTCAATCTGCAGACAGTGAGTAGCGGATTGGGTCACTCGCGTTGGTTCTGTCCTCGGAGGAGCCTTATCATTCGTTGACGAACGGCGGAGCTGGTCGTAATCGGACACGTTCGCTATGGCCCACAAGGCATCGGAGCAGGAGATATGCCAGTCAGTGCTTGGTTTTGTAACGGAGGGCACCTACCCAACATCTGAGGATGTAATTGCCGCGGAGTTTCCGGTATCTGCTCTCGCAAGGGAGCTAGAGCTTATATCAAAGGCAAGGGAGGAAGTGGAGGTGAGTAGTACCAGTTGCGAACCCCGCGCTGCGGCCAGCGCGATTGCCCTTGCGACTAATCCACGATATACTTATTTTTTTTGTCATGTCAAATAGGCGGAGATCACTGCACTAAGCCGGGACAATGACTTTGACGCCGATGGATGGATTTCGCAAGCAAAACAACTTCATGCAGACATCGAGCGATCTCGTGTCACTGCGAGGGAGATCGTCGCGCAGCATGAGAATACAAACCCTTTACAACTGAAGGTTGAAGACGCCGCTGCCAAGTTTCAATTGGTTGAAACTGAAATCGCATTCAACCAAGCTGTAACGCACACACTTGAGGAGGTACAAAGACTATGTCAACGACTCGATGCTGGGCGGGCCATCCTTGGAGAGGGCCAGGTGATGGACGCAATCGAAACATTAGAAGCGACCGAGGAGGCCATAAGAAAAGACAATCTCTTTTCAAACACCACTGTCATGCACGTATTATTAGAGAATGTCAGCGAACTGCGGAGGGAAATTGCGGAGTCCCTCCGTGCTCGCTGGAGCAAGCAGCTGAACGTTAACAGAAAGGAGAGTATCTTGACACTCTTGAATGACAATGGTAAGAATTTCCCCAATCCTGGATCTCACAATTTCTTGCTGAACCAAGCAGGACATTCATTGGAAGAAACTATCGCGGCTCTGGCCCACCTTGATATGCTCGCGTTGTGCAAGGATAAGTTCGAGAAAGACTTACTTGCTACCCTTTTCGATCCTATTCTACTGCCTGCAGTTGAAGGGCAAAGCCGTGGTATCAAGATTGGAGAGTCTTCAATTCAGATAGAATCCCAACCATCGAAGGCATCAGTGTCTGAGGTTTTGGACCGCCTCGCCACAGCCTTGGGCTTCCTACGCCAACACCTTCCAGCAACAGTCTCGGACTCATTTTCGGATTCACTCATCCCGACACTTTCATCGAAGGTGATATCCTTCTGGCTGTCTTCTGCGATACCAACAGACCTTGAAGGTCTGAGTATGTTCGAAGACATCTTAAACTACGTTTTAAAGTTTACCAATACGTTGGAGACATTTGGGTGGCAGGGGTACGAGGAACTTGTTTCTTGGGTCAATCAGGCCCCTCGTTTATGGCTAACCAGGCGTCGAGTCGATTCATTGGACCAAGTTCGCAAAGTCCTGGCCGCTAGTCAGGGTACCACAAAGCAGGTAGAGCGTATTGAAAAAGAGGAGGTTTCTGGTAAGGATGAGGTTCTACTGGATAATACGACTGACGATTGGGATGCTGGCTGGGATGACGAGAACGAACACGAGACCGCAGCGAAGCATTCTGGAAATAAAGAAGACGAAGAGGATGTCAGCGCATGGGGTCTTGACGACGATACCGAGGAGAACACAGCTGAAACGAAGCCTGATCCATCTGCTGAAGATGACGCTGCCGATGCTTGGGGCTGGGGAGACGAAGATGAGGAAGAGCGGCCCGATGATGCACAGACTAAAAGTACAAATGGGGGCAAATCTGTCAATGGGAAAGATTCGGCACATGATTCCTCTCCCCGGGAGGTCACATTGAAAGAGCAGTACACCGTAACCGACATCCCTGATTCTATCCTCGAAATCATTCAGCAGCAAATCAAAGACTCTGAAGCTATATCGCAGCCTATGTACGTCGAGCTTGACTTAGATATCCGCACATGCACTGACTCCTTTCTAGGCATTCTCACTCCCGCGTTGTTTCCTCTGGTGCAGGCCTTCTTGCACTTCCCACCTTGATACTCGCCATGTTCAAGGCCACGGCGTCATCGTTCTACGGCCTTAAACTCAACTCAGGGCAAATGTACTTATACAACGATAGTTTGTATCTTGCTGATAAAGTGCGCAATCTCTCAGAGGAACATCAGCTCACCAGGCTCCATGCCGATATCGATGCGCTCGAGAAGTGTGGCAAATTCGCCTACAGTAGAGAGATGCAAACGCAACGCACCATCGTCACAGACCTGCTGGACGGCGCACAAGGTTTCAGCCAATGCTCTGAGCAACCGTTCCTGGGAGAATGTGAAAATGCAGTTAGTGCAACTGTGGACAGAATCCATGACGTTTACAAGGAATGGCAACCGATTCTGTCACATTCCGCACTACTTCAGTCTGTTGGTTCTTTAGTTTCAACAGTTATCAATAAGATCATCATCGAGATCGAAGAACTAGGTGATATATCGGAGGCTCAGTCCCAGCAGCTTGTGTCGTTCTGCAACCAAGTATCTAAGCTGGAAGATCTCTTCATGCCAGAGACAACGGACGATAACGCACGTGTACCAATGACCGCTGTCTATGTACGAGATTGGTTGAAATTCCAGTACCTTATCAACATACTAGAAAGCTCGTTGGCCGACATCAAGTTTCTCTGGCTAGAAGGCGAACTACGCCTAGAATTTTCGCCTGAGGAGGTGGTTGACCTTATCAAGGCTCTTTTCGCAGAGTCTGACTACAGGCGGAAGGCAATTGCAGAAATTCGACGAGTCTCGCGATGATAGGGACGGGTCACAAACGTATTGTATATAGAAGTGGAGTATAATTTGATAGGCAATTAGACCATACCATCTACAGAGTTTAGAGCTAGGGCAAAGAGCAGTAGTTATACATAGTTCTTGTAGGCTGACTGCGGGGGATCTCCGCGCACTGCGCAATTGGCCGCACCGGTCGCCGTATTTTTCCTCAGTTTGCGCAGTTTTTGTCCACTGCGAACCGATTAGATTTTCGACAACGCCGCTTCAGACTTCCCAGTTCCATTTGTCCTTCTACGGTTCCAAAATGAGCGAGGGCTCAAATTCCACTTCGGCTGCGGCCTCTGCGCAGAGGCAGGTTCGTGTGCAGCTCACTAGCAAACAAGAAGACATTGCATTACCTGAGAATACCGGCCCGATTCTCGTTCCCACAGGTGAGATTATCTTACGCCAGGTCTCCCATTTTTCTAGCGTCTGTGTTTCGTACAGAGATCTAATTATGTAGGTCTTCGAAGATATGCACTCTCCACGTTGGTGAACAATCTCCTTGGCAGTGACAAGCCAATTCCATTCGAGTTTTTGATCAACGGGTCTTTCCTCCGGACTTCGATCGATGAATACCTGACTGCCAATGGTATTTCTGCGGAAACTACTCTAGAAATCGAATATGTGAGAGCCTTGATTCCACCTCTGCATATTGCATCGTTTGAGCATGATGACTGGGTAAGCTCGGTTGATGTGCTTTCCGCGACATCGCCCGCCGCTTCGTTAGCCTCTGCAACAATTGGCGCAGGCCAAGAGAAGATCCTCTCCGGCAGCTACGATGGCCTGCTTCGAGTGTGGAATATGTCATCTCAAATAATTGCAACCTCGCCATCTGCCGCTGATGGAGGCCATACCGCATCTATTAAAGCCGCCAAATTCATTTCCCCAAATTCGATTGTGTCTGCAGGTCTCGACCGAACAGTGCGTCTGTGGAAGTACTCTGAGGATGGCGATGGTTTCTCGGGCAAAATAGCACCCCAACTCGAGTTGTATGGGCACAAGGGCCCTATCAACTCATTGTCTGTCCATGCCCCTTCGAATCGCATCCTTTCTGCCTCGTCAGACCACAGCATAGGTTTCTGGTCAACCAAGAAATCGGATGCGCCAGCCGCTCCAGAGGATTTATTGCCATCTGCAGCCTTGAGGAGCTCCAAGAGGAGAAAGTTGAATTCGTCTGTGACCATCCCGCAACGAGGACCCTTGGCACTCTTGTCCTCTCACAGTGCGCCTGTGTCGGCTGCAATTTTCGACTCCAATGATTCCACTGTCGGTTATTCGGCTTCTTGGGACCATTCCCTGCGTACATGGGATCTTGTAACCGCTACACTTGTGGATACTCGGACAACAGCTCACTCGCTGCTTTCACTTGAGCACCTCCCTGAGCACCACCTCCTCGCCGCAGGTACCTCCGCTCGTCATATCACCCTGATCGATCCTCGGGCGTCCGCAACTACAATTGCAGCCATGACTCTGCGAGGCCACACAAACGCAGTTGTCTCGTTGGCTCGTGATCCTAACAGTTCCTATGGTCTCATTAGTGGAAGTCATGACGGTACATGCCGGATTTGGGACATCCGGGCCACGAAGACGGACAAGGATGGCGTGGTTGGGGAAAGTGTATATTCCATCTCCCGCAAGAGCCTGGAAGAACAAGGTAAATCTGAGGCCAAGCGTGTTGGCGGAGAGGGCGTCAAGGTTTTCGGTGTGGCCTGGGATGGAACAGTAGGCATTGTCAGTGCGGGTGAGGACAAGAGGATTCAGATCAATCGGGGCGAAGGCGTCTTATCTTCTGCGTAGAACAAGTTGCACATATGGGCCTGGCGTTTTACTATAGGATGAAAAGTTGAGACTCTTTAAATTTTTTTTTTCACTATCATACAAGTCGATGTCCTTTCAGATGCTTATAGATCCTGTGAGACATAGGGACGGGATACAGCAATCTTTTGGCTGCACATTCGTTCTCTGGATATAGTACATCTCATAAGTTTTTAGACTGTAGCTGATACTCAATTCAAGAAATTAAAATTAACGCCATGCCATGCCCCCCACATAAAGATCGCGAGGTCCAACAAGATACAAACAGCCGCTGCAGTGAGCTCAGAGCCTTCTCTCCATACGATTGAGCTTGACAGCAGTTTTGATCTATACAAACAAGCATTAGCTCATCTACTTCCTGAGACACAGGAATATGAGAGTAAAACCAACCTGAGTTCTTGTTCTCTGTCCACGAACTGGGAGCCCCAATGCATGCCGTCTACCCCGGTACGTACCCGTCTCCTTCAAGCGCTTTATATCATCCAGGTATTGTCTGCGAAGGTCGTTCTCGATTTTCATCTCAGACAAAGCGGCCGTGATATCGAGGACCTGCTTGTTTGCCAGCTCGCCAACTTTACATGTAGGGTGGATGTGAAAGCGGGCTAGAAGGCGTGACGAGCCAGTGTTCCCAATGCCGAAAAAGGACTGAAGCGATGTCTGGTGAAAGTGTTAGATTTGGTAAGGATGCGATGGTGCATTGGTTGCTGGAGTGCTTGCCTTGACGAGGTTCCGCTCAGGGAAGTTCACGCCCAGGATGAAGACCTAAGTGACCATTAGCCGTGAGTCCTGAAGGATTTTATATATGACTAGAAACAGCATACCATCTTGCCTGACTAGATGAATCCGGTCTGCTCGAAAGGGGACAAACTGCACTCCGCAATTGTTCCTCCGGCGCAATGATTGATCTCCGGAGCGCGGAAGAAATCACATCGCAACAACATTCCTCCGGTTTGATTGCGGTATATTTCAATACACCAATGGTAAGATTTAAGCTTCTGGGGCGAACTTACACCATATATGGGAGGAAAATTACACAAATCTCAGCTCAAAATACAAACGTTGCCTGCATTTGGAATGATGGCATCTTGGCATCTCCGCAATTGAAAGCTGGCCCTTCAGTCCAGTCCCGCGATTCTTCCTTCCACTCCAATTGTACTGTCCAAGTCATTGTTGGAGATCTCCAGGAAACGGAGACAATCTAAGTCATCATGAACTTCAGAAACCTCTTCTTATCGTTTTTCTTCGTTCTGGCTGTTGGACTGGCTCTGGTCCACGCCGAGGAAGCTAATCAGCCCCGTGGCCCGAAGATCACTTCTAAGGTAAACACCCTATCCTTATCGCTCTTGATGAGTGTTGCTTCTCTTCGTGTATACTCATTGGTCATTCCGGATAGGTGTACTTCGACATTGAGCATGGCGATAAGCCTCTGGGCAGAGTGGTGCTCGGATTGTACGGCAAGACCGTTCCCAAGGTAACGATCCTTACTGCCTCCATACCTTGCCTAGGATTATGCTAATGAGATTTTTCCTGGACAGACCGCTGAGAACTTCCGGTATGGGCTATCTTGATATTAAATCTGGATATTTTGTGTGCTAACATAAAACGCTTAAGGGCTCTCGCCACCGGCGAGAAGGGCTTTGGTTACGAGGGCTCTACCTTCCACCGTGTCATTAAGGAGTTCATGATTCAGGGTGGTGACTTCACCCGCGGTGACGGTGAGATTCCCCTAGTCAAAACTGAATAGCATAGCACATGCTAACGTTCTGCATAAGGCACTGGCGGAAAGTCCATCTACGGCAACAAGTTTAAGGATGAGAACTTCAAGATTAGGCACACCAAGAAGGGACTCCTGAGCATGGCCAACGCCGGCAAGGATACCAACGGCTCTCAGTTCTTCATCACTACTGTTGCTACTCCGTATGTATCTCCTGCAGTGATATTACGCCCTCATTAAGAGACCAGCGGAGAAAAACCATGCTGACGAGCGGAACAGATGGCTCGATGGCCGCCACGTTGTTTTCGGCGAAGTCCTTGAGGGTTATGAGGTGGTTGAAGCCATCGAAAACGTCCCCAAGGCCCCTGGCGACAAGCCCCAACAGGTGGTCAAGATCGTCAAGAGTGGAGAGCTGGAGTCCGAGGACAAAGGTAGCCACAAGGAGCTGTAGACCTTCTCCGGGTCAATTTTTGGTTCTTGGAAGAGTTTGAAACGTGCTGATAGTTCTTGACCTCTAAAGAAAACATCGCTATCACTGAGGAGCCATCGGAAACTCCAGCACCATCTTCACCAGCACCTGCACCCGCATCAGCAAGCGCTTTTGCTTCCTCTTATTCTTTTTCTCTATCTGGATTTGTAGTATTTCTTGTTGCCGTTGCCCTCATAGTGATCTCTGTTCGGAAGGTCTGCAAGGCACGGTGCCAGTGCAAAGCAAATGATGAGAAAAGCGTTGTTTGAAAATAAATGCAGGATGACGATTTCCAAGAGTTGCTGCGGAACAACTATCCAATTAGATTCAAGTTTTACCGATATAATTTGACCGGACTCCGTAGAGGGTAACTAAAACTAGTTTCCATCCATTACTCCCGTCACTAGCATATATCCCCCGTAGCGTCTAACGCGCTTTGTGTGTTCTCAGGCTTTTTTTTCCATAGAAGCGGTCAGTAACAGCTCAGCAACTTGGTCGTGGCAAACCTTGTCAGGTGACTGGTTACTGCCAGGAGTGGCAAATGTCAAATTCTGCTTCTCCTGGGACATGTGGGAATCTGCAAATGCAGAGTGGCTATGTGGATATATGTATTTCTGTTTTATGAAGATCTTTTTCTTACACTTTTGTTCTGCTGGGCGCTGTGTACTACTACTGTAGAGAATGGTATGTACAGTATATACCCGATTGGATTCTTTGATGTCTTTTGTTGTTTTATTTCCCTTTGTGTTATTTGTGTATGTGTACGATCAGATATAACAACGAAAGGGAGGATAGAAAGACATGATCATCTTTGTTCAGATGATTCCTACTCCGTATACACTCATGGAAACCCTGTACTCTAAGTACTTTGTGCTATCATTGGCGATAATCATTACTCTGGAGTACATCTGGGTAAGTAATGTACCGATTCAACCAGTGGTTTTCATTGGAACCCCTCAGATTGGTCCGAAGGAGGTCACTAGTACTTGCTTCGGACCCCTCCAGTACAGTACCCAGTAATCAGTAGGTATCTAATGGATGGTACTCTGTAGTCTCATACCAAAATAATATTGAGATACATGATTTGACAAGTTTACTTAATTATTATCTAATTGATCTATGAAGGATTATTTATTCCAAAACTACAATTACCGAAGCATGTCACAAAGAAAGAAAGGAGATCCAAGATACTTAAGGAGGTACAGAATACGGTCGGTTGGTTCCATTGAAAAAACTGCAAAACCCTTTTTCACAGTGACGGCAAACATTGAAAAAAGAAGGCCAAAAAAAAGAGACTCGGCCCAGCCCATAATTACCTATTGGCGCCGCAACTTACCCTTTTTTTTTTCCTCATTTGCCTTCGCTTCTGAAGTTTTTACCTTTTTTTTTTCCTTCCTTGTCTTTGTAATCCACGCTGGATGTGCCAATAAAAAACTACCCCTAAGACAGATTTTTTTGGAACCGCATGCAAAATACCCAGAGCGAGTAGGTACCAGTACAGTCCGTGGTAAGTACACACAGGTTGGTGGTCACTGAGCGTGACTGCAAACACTAAATTAAGTCAGGCTTTGCCTCACTTCCTCTCCTTCTCCCACAAACCTAATCTCTTCCTCTTCCTTTTTCAAACCTCCTCCCCTAATCCAAATTGGTTTTCCTTTTCTTTTCCACATATTATCAACTTCTCTTTTTTCTCTTTCTTCCCCTTTCTTTCTTTCTGCAATTTAATAGAGGGTTAGATCTGGGAGATCGCCTTGTTCAAGTTTCCAAATCCCCAAATCGTTTTTTTACCTTTTTCTTGTTGTGTTACTCATATTCGATCCATCTGGATCGCCACTCAATAGAGAGACACGAGGATACTTTTCTTTACCATCTTCACGTTTCTCTCCTTCCCTCTAGTCCTGTACAAACACGAATCTCGGGCGCTCTTTTTCCATTTTGACGATAAGCAGATCGCGCTTCTGCTCCCCGGGTTTTAAAAACAGCACTTCTTTTTTCTTTCCCTCTTTTGTACGTCCATATACCACCATCTCATTTCCGCGCCAGAAAACCCGCATTCCACCTGTGCAACTTGGAATACATTGCTTATCTGTCATCTCGGGATAGTTAGTGAAATACCGCAAAGATGGCCGACGGCTTGAAGATGGGAAATCTTTCCCTCAACGAATCTCAGCATGCGCCTGCCCCAAACTCTTCCGTTGGTCGCGCTGCCTACATCCCTCCCCATCTCCGTCAACGCCAAATGGGTGGTGCAAACATGGACGGAGCCCCCGCCGCTGCCCCCCCTGCCCCTGGTCCTAGCGGCCCTGGCAACTCTTGGGGTTCAAGGTATGTATTTTTCCTGGATTCGCCTCGCAGCTTGCTCTCTGTTGTGTGCGGGTTACTGACCATATAATCTTACAGAGGCGCTCCTCGCGGTGGCAACTGGGCCAACGCTAGTGCTCCTGATTTCAGCCCTCGCGGTCCCAATACCAATGGTAATACCGGCTGGACTCCCACTGAAGGTTCTCGCCGATCATTTAATCCTGATGCTTACGGAAACCCAGGTCATGGAGGCTCTTATGGCGGAAGCGGAGGCAGTGCCAGAGGCTCCGGAGATGGCCAGTGGCGCGACGGCAAGCACATCCCTGGTCCCGCCAATGCTCGCGTGGAGCGTGAACTTTTCGGCGTGCCCAACGATCCCACTAAGCAGAACACTGGTATCAACTTTGCCAACTACGACGATATTCCCGTGGAAGCCTCCGGTCACGATGTTCCCGAGCCCGTCAACGCATTCACCAACCCTCCTCTGGACGACCACCTGATTGAAAACATCAAGCTCGCTTACTACCAGACTCCTACCCCGGTGCAGAAGTACTCTATTCCTATCGTGATGAATGGCCGTGACCTGATGGCTTGTGCCCAGACTGGTTCTGGAAAGACTGGTGGTTTCTTGTTCCCAATCTTGTCTCAGGCCTTCCAGAACGGTCCTTCCCCGACTCCTGCCCCGGCATCCGGCCAGTTCAGCTACGGCCGTCAGCGCAAGGCCTACCCAACGTCCCTTATCTTGGCCCCAACTCGTGAACTTGTCTCTCAGATCTTCGATGAAGCCCGAAAGTTCGCTTACCGCTCTTGGGTTCGTCCCTGCGTCGTCTACGGTGGTGCCGACATTGGATCTCAGCTCCGTCAGATTGAACGCGGTTGTGATCTTCTGGTTGCCACTCCTGGTCGTCTCGTAGATCTTATTGAGCGTGGCCGCATTTCTCTTGTCAACATCAAGTACTTGATCCTGGACGAAGCTGATCGCATGTTGGACATGGGTTTCGAGCCTCAGATCCGCCGCATTGTGGAGGGTGAAGATATGCCTCATGTTAATGACCGTCAAACCCTGATGTTTTCTGCCACCTTCCCTCGCGACATCCAGATGCTGGCTCGCGACTTCCTGAAGGATTATGTTTTCCTCTCTGTTGGCCGTGTCGGCTCAACCTCTGAGAACATCACCCAGAAAGTTGAATACGTCGAAGATCACGATAAGCGTTCGGTTCTCTTGGATATTCTCCACACTCATGGCACTAGCGGTCTCACCCTCATTTTCGTTGAGACCAAGCGCATGGCCGACTCTCTGTCGGACTTCCTGCTCAACCAGCGCTTCCCTGCCACCGCCATTCACGGTGACCGTACTCAGCGTGAGCGTGAGCGTGCTTTGGAGATGTTCCGTTCCGGCCGTTGCCCTATCTTGGTTGCTACTGCTGTCGCTGCTCGTGGTCTTGATATCCCCAACGTTACTCACGTTATCAACTACGACCTGCCTACTGATATCGACGACTATGTTCACCGTATTGGTCGTACCGGTCGTGCGGGTAACACCGGTATTGCCACCGCCTTCTTCAACCGTGGCAACCGCGGCGTCGTTCGCGATCTGATTGACCTTCTCAAGGAGGCTCACCAGGAGGTTCCGTCGTTCTTAGAGAGCATTGCTCGTGAGGGCAGTGGATATGGTGGCCGTGGCGGCCGTGGAGGTCGTGGCCGTGGAGCCAACGCCACCCGTGATATGCGTCGGGTGGGCGGCGGTATGGGCGGTCCTCCTTCCTTCGGTGGCAGCAGCTACGGCGGTCCCAGTGCTGGCTATGGCGGTAGCTACGGTGGCGGCGCTCCCTCTTACGGTGGTGGTGCTGGTGGTGGCGGCGGCGGCGGCAGCTACGGCTACGGCGGCGGCAGCGGCGGCGGCGGCTATGGAAACCCCTCGGGCCCTACTGGACCTTCCTCCTGGTGGTAAATCCGGGGTTGTGCCCGTGGTCTCTGACGAGGCCGTCAGGTCTGATTGGCTCCATTTATCTTCATTTGCCTTTCATTTGACGGATACGATCAGAACGAGCCCTGAGTTGTTTTTTTCTTTTTTGTTTTATCTCAGGAACGGCTTTGTCATGACTGCCACGACTTCCTTTTAGATTTTTTTTTGTTCTTCATCGTCTTGTTTCATTTTATCACGTCGAGTTATCGGTGTTCTCTATTTTTGAGCATTTCGCAGATTTCGTTTGCTTGTTCTCGATTTTAGACATGGTCTTATGATGCGGTCCGATCTCACCATGTTGCTGCTCCTGGTTATACCCTTTATGTAATCGAGAGCATCTTGGTCGGCATTGCATGAACATCATAGATTGCGTTGTCTTTCTCCTGCGACCGCTTCTGTCAGATACCCTTTTTGTTCTCAGGCGGCCATATGGAGATCCGCTTGAACTATGTGCGCCGAGCAGGAGTGCCGGCTTTTCGGTTTCAGAAAAGTGCTTTTTATGGTTTCATCTGCTTGGTGCTGTGGCAACGCATCGACCGTGTCTTGCAAGATAGATCTCTTCCTTTTTCGGTATCTCATGGCGGGTTATTTCCATTTCCTTATTTATTTGTCTGAACCTCCGACATTCAAGTTTCACTTCTTATGCATGCGTCGCTACTGTTTCTGCCTCGTGCTGCTTTCTTCCCCATGCGTTGCTCCATGGCGGCCTCGGCTATGGCTGGAGTCCTTCTTGCTACGCATCACTCCTGTGTGGAAGAGACGGCGCGAGGGCTACCAAACAGCGCTTTGCGACCACGGGCCTTCTTCGGCGGGTATTTGTTTCTTTTTTGACACTGCCTCTGGGACAGGCGGTGCATGATAACGTGATGCGAGTGATAGAGAAGGGATTTTTCTTTGCATTGTGTATGGCGTTGGGCTTGAGCTGCTGTGTCCACAAAAATATTATGTTCTCTGCACTTGGGACCGTGGAGGATGGAATGCTGCATTTGCTGGCACTTACGATTTTTTGTGGTTATGCTAGACATCATTGTCTCATGTCAGTAGCGATATAGGCTCGACGAGATATGCCGAAGACGGCCCTGTTCACGGGGGCTTTATCTGTCTCGCGCGAAGGGGAGCTATTTATCAGGACAAAAAGTTTGATTCTAGTCTTATCTACTTGGTGTAGTACATCCTGCGATGCCCGTGGTCCATGAATTCCTCGTAGCAGTTAGAAGTGAAAGCCCTACAGACACACTGGGTTAATAAGGTCACAATCAGTCATTGAGCGTAGGGAGAAGTTTCTATAATAAAGAGCACTTATGGGTTATGGAAATTATGCTCTTATGCTGAGCTTCTTAATTATCTTGTATATTATCTTGATTTGTTCGGTTTATTTAAGCTGTACTGTACTTACTCCGCGCCCGCATTGATTTTCTATGAAACTTTCAATCATTCACCAAACATAGGACTTCCTTTCCCGGAACAGGACTAGATCGGGGCCGCTTTTGACTACATGATTTTGATCCGGGAGTGTGGGGTAAAGCGGAAGTGCGTGTGCTGAGCGAGTGTGCCGGACTTGACTCTGGAGTAAACGGCCTGCCAAGCTAAGGTAAGTATAACATCTTCAAATGGCGGCCTCTTCTTTCTAGGGTTATCTTTCATAGAAGGTGTATGAATTGTGTATTGGATGTATGGATAAACATGAAGGTAATGCAACAGGACTCAGATCAGGATTGACCAGGGTTTAGCTCAGTGCAACATATTCTGGCTAAAAGGAAAGGAAAGGAATGAAGAAAGAGTCAAGAAGCACACACACACACACACACACGGTGGTTCTCGAATCCCCGACAGGATAACCTGAGCAATGATCTCACTTCGAGTCTCGTTATTCCTGCATTAGAACTGCCCCTTCAGACCCTCAAAATCTTTATCCTGTTGCAAAGTGTCTACCTCAGCCTCAAACACTTCGAGAATCCGAGAGTTCCTCTGTTTAACATGACTGATCATAACGTCAATGGTTTTTGTCGCATACTCTGCAAGGCGCTTCTCATCAGCTTTTGCCGCTTCTTCGGCGATCTCATGTAGTCGCTTAAACCAATACAGCCACCTCCAGGGACCAAATCCACCTGGTGCTCGCCGACCTAGCTCTGACCTGACAAACCTTCCGCCACCTGTCCCGTAAAGACTGCTAGAGCAATCATTCCACGATACATCTGTTAAAAGTATGATGTTATGTCCAGCCTCTCGGAGCCAGGCACACGCAGAGGGGAGTAACGCGGCAATAGTAAGCGTATGCACTGTTCGGTGATGATCTTCGTTATCGGGGTCGTCCAGGCTGCCCAGACTCTGCATGGACTCAAAAGTGTCACGGAAAAGGATCAAAGCAATCTGGCAAAGCCGATCTTTCACCATGCGCGTCGAGGCAAGCTTAGCCAGGAAGGATGAAACATTGAGGCGTTGGTTGGCGTCCATTTGCGCGCACTCGTTTAGCCAGAAATCGGTCATGTCCGTAGCGAGAAACGGTAGGTCGTTCCAGACAGTACCGTCGGGCGTTCTAGCAAGATCAACGCCACAGCCGCCCGGCGCTGGCCTGGTGAGAGGACCTCGCCCCCGAAGACGGAGGATGTTGAGGACCAACTTATCTTGCTCGGGGCTCTCATGGGAGAGATGCTTGCTCCAATGGTGATAGGTATACCACAGGTCATGCAGATGCTGCTCGCAGTAATCAATGGAATTCTGAGACCGGCAATATCTTTGACCAATAATCCATGCTCGGTTATATGCTACTCCTCGGAGGATGTCGAATTGTCCTTGCCGAGCAGTCTCCTCTATATCCACCCGCAGGTTTGAAGTGATGTCAAAGAAGCTAGGACTATCCCTCGGTGGGGTGTCTGGTGAATCTCCTAGTAAGTCGTGCATAATCTGGTAGGAAACACCTGGAAATGAGATGAGTGTGGAATTAACTTGGAGAAATGAAGAAATGATTTTATTCTCGAAGGACTGAGGGGGGTTAAATAAGCATGGAAGGACGACACCAACATTCGGGCAGGCAGCAACAGCTGGAAACAAAGAGATCCCCACCTCTACGGAGTCATCTTCTGCTACCTATTGGTGCCACATCGCTTGCTAAGGGTGCAAAGAACCCACTAGGATCAGCAGAAGACGTGTTTTGGTTTAACGGGATATCCGATGTTAAAAACCCTAGGTCCTGGAAGACTATTGGCCACTATCTAATACCCCTGCAATCGCATCCAAACATTGTCCCTCACTGGCGGTATTGCTATACATGGAGGTGGATTAATGCTACCATAGCATACTAGTATAGCAGGCCGAATATATACTGGAATGCAGCAAGCTTGTAGGTATTCCTCTTCGAATTGCACAGCACCTCTCCCGGCTGGTCCACAATCAACGAAGTAGCAACAGCAGAAGTACCTGTCTCAGTGATTTATCTTTTGACAGATGCACTCTCTACTGTAAGAGTCATAATAGCACCCTTTGTTCTCAATTGCATCGGTACACTATGTCTCAAAGTTAGCATACTCAGCTAGAGTAACAGGGTCCAGAGAAACTTACCACTTTAAAATGACATTTACAAATACCTTTCAGGCCATCTTGCGTATCATAATGACATTGATTGGTGGCAGGATCACATGTCTATTTTGAAAAAGATCAGTTCTCTCCCCTCACACTTCAATAAACCTTGGCCACTTACTCCGGGGTACTGGACTTGAGCACTGTTTTCGTTCCTGGCATATAAGTCATAGGACGTCGGAGACTCAGGGTCAGCAGGGCTGGCCAATGTCCCCAGAGCAGAAGAAAGGGCAAGTCCAATGGAAGTAACAATGACAAGCTTCATAATGATGACGTGCAGCTTTGATAATTTGGCAAAGACGGGCAAGGTAAGATCAGTGTACACTGGAAGAATGGTATGCTTTCATCTAATCTTTGAGAGGTTGGGCCAGAGGCCGTCTTATATAGGTAAAATGTCAGACCTGTCGAGGGAGGGAGAAAGTCGGGGTCTACGAATAGTTGGGCCTGGATACTGGACCAAATCTCACGACAAGTGTGCGTAGGAGCACTGGGGCTAGTCCATGTCATCAAGGGTCCTTGTAATACAGATGGACAGTGTGTGATTGGCCAGCTACTTCAGGATATACTCTTAGCTGATTGCTGGGATACTGTGCCACCGGTCTTCCCCGTACACAACCACCCCCCGATTCCCCTCCTCAACCCTCACAATAGATAAGAATACCAATCAGAGGCTGTCCAGAACCCATTCTGTTGGGGTTGGCACCTCTTGACTGGCGTCTTACTGGAGTGGTGCGACGGTCTGACGAGTAAGGGGAGGTGGCACTCGCCTGGTCGTGGAAGACTGTCACCCACACTAATCCTGGAATATACGACCATGCATTAGTGTTTATCTCAAAGTGCAGTGGCATATCCTCTCCCAGTGCCAGGCTATAACGACCACAGCATTTTTGGTCATGGGGAAAGTAGCTCAGAACCATCCTTCATAACTGATGCTTGAAACACCATGGGCTTCTAGCAATCGACCGTGTAGGACATACTCTCTATAATAATTGTGCTACTAGGTCCGTTTGGCCATTTTGAAAACGACCCGAAGGCTAACTTTTTACATGTAAGTATTTCTTCTCGGCTTTGGAACGAGATGCAACGTCAATTGAGGCAGGGATAAGTGCGCTTCGTTCGAAATCACATTCGACCAAGGATCTGAATCCATGTAAGAAGGGCCATGCCAATTATTGAGGTATGAATTCAGCCTTGGGCTAAACAAAACAGGATTGCACCGAAAGTACTTCGCCTACTTAACTGTACTCAACGTCCGTTGAATAGTCATTTAGAAGCGTCTCTAAGGATACTGGAGGGCTACTACATATATACTGCCTCTGTCTCGTGCAAACAATAGAGAATATGGAAGGCCATGAACAGACGGTAATAGGCATACCGCAATGAATCCGTCACTTTCACCCAACAGACCCACCGGACACTACCACAGTAGTCTCCTGTCACCTAGTAAATATTGTCACCAAGCCAAATACCAATCCAGGAAGGGATACGCAAAAAAGACACCACTTCCCTCATATGTCTCAGCATACCCAGCAATGTCGTATGGGGCATCCCAGGGTAAGGCCGCCCCGTGCTACGATCAGTACTTGATTAAGATAGCTCGGACCATGGGGTATGGATTACGGCACTCCCTTCCTCCACTAGCATTTGGGCTGTCATCATAAATTATGCCTCTAGGAGATGCTGGCGTAATCTACAAACAGATGAATACTCTGGACCGCAATCCGATTGGAATGTCTCAGTCTCTCACATGGCCACATGCGCTTGATATCGGCGTTGGCGTACCGGTCAACCAAGACGATGTCGCACTTAGCGCATCGATATTCAATTCCAAATGTCCTGAGCCCCATCCCGAGTCCCAAGTGCGAGGATCCACAAGCTGAGCCCATGAGAATTGGGCCCTTACCGGGAAACAGAATCCCGGGATCAGTCGAATATGTAATATACCAAGATTCATTGGGGCTCAAAGGGTATAAAATGGGCGATACTCACTACCCTTTGGACGACTTCTCTACTATCGACATACTTAGGAGTTCTACACACTACCGACCAAAACCCCATCCCATTCTCTTTATCTCTGATCTAAAGACCATTTGTCCAAGCGCACCAAAATGCAACTTACCAAGAACGCCATCTACGCCGCCACTCTTCTGGCCACCATTGCTGCTGCAGTCCCTAGCCCGGCTGCTGGTGCTGAGAAGTTCTTCCTCTCCAATGGTGAGAAATCTGTCATGGTTGAAATAGAACCCTCGGCAGCGAACACCGCCAATGTTTTCCAGGCTTTGGCAGAGGGCGATATTGACTGCAAGGGCTCTGCCTTCTGCGAACGACTTGGTTCTAGCTGCGATGCTGCTAGACGCAAAGTCATTCCCAGTAACACATACACGACTAGCCTTGGGTATGTCTACCCTGTAATGAGAATGGATGTTCTTACTTCTAGCTAACCCAACACAGCTCGGCAGATACTGGAACTTGTAGTGGAACTTGTGGTCTTTTCGTCAGCGGCGAGAATTGTCAAGCTTCCGGAGAAGATTTGATTAACGCCTACAATGACATTCGCAGCAAAGGTCATTGCACACATTGCGGACGGAAGCAGATGGCACGCGGCTGTATGATTAAGATTGACCGGGTGACGGGCTGCTGAAAGGAGTTCGAGCGTGTTGGACAATCGGATGGGCCATACGAGATGAATGTATTTAGGACCATACTCCAAGCTTAACCATATCTTCGCTTGTCGGTTTCCAGAATCTAGTGGAGTTGGTGTCCCGAGTGTTCCCTTAGGATTGAGAACAAAAGCAGTAACCCCTCAGCCGCCCTAACTACTTGGCCAGCTAGCTTGGAAGTTTCACTACGATTATATTATCCCTCCATCCGCCAGCACTTGGCGTCCTAGCGGCAACACCGTACGCAGACATTGTGCTGGCTAGCCAAGTCTCTCTACTTTGCCGTATAGGTTTCCTTAACGTTTTTCCTGTTATAAAGAGGCTAGATGCCCATATCTATGAGTACTTCGCGGGCTCGCGCGCTCAGTCAATGAGAGGATAGAGCGAAATGCTACAGGATTACTCCGTACATTCAAATTGTAAAGGGCAGTCAGAGTAGTCGCACATATAGCCGGACTTTTCCACTTATCTGTCAGAGTGTCACTTGATACTTAGTGACAGTAGTACTCCGTAGGTCTCATATCGAACAACGTCGGATAGGCCAAGTCTAAAAATCGGGCCAAAGGGAAGTGGGCCCCAATCGAAGGACTAGCACAAGCTGGGATGTTTCGCAAATCCTTCCACGCTCCACCACAAGACGGGCTCATGTCTCTATCCAAATGATACCTTCGACAAGGATCAATAGGTTAGGTATTCTCCTATCCTTACCATTCTGGGCCTAATCACCTTGGTCCTGTGCATGTGGGTAGAGACAACAAGGTTCTTGCGGCCGGGTTGCTTTCAGCTGTGTCATCTCGTTTGGCTTAGGGGGGAGCATTTAGAAGCTAGTAAATGATATGCATCTCCCAAGGGCTTCAGAGTGTTGATGGTGAGGCTTAATGCTAGTACTGCGTATCTTGTTGTCAAGTTATGGGTGTTGTCATGAGCTTGGGGTTATTCTAGCGAGAACTAGCTCATGGGCTTTCATTGATTGTGCGCCTCGTGCGAATAATGATATCAGCCAAGAGTTCCTGTCCACAAAGCCTGCAGGATGGCGAACCCTGGAAAATAGTGTATAGAGAGACAGTATTATAGATAACATGCACGAAGTAGAGAAATCCCGCAAAGGGGGCTGAACGTGAGTCAGTGACCTACTCCGGAGTATACGTAGTTCCCCCGCAGGTTGCTGGAGACTACTGAGTAGACCAGACATTGGTCGATCAGCGTTCGCAGCGCTCAACGTCCAAGGGTTAGAAACTCCACTTCAAAGAGCGGTTGGAGAGGAGTGCCTGGTCTAGGTTTCTGTGGCGGCCTAGAGGCGAGACTAAAAGGCGGCGCGCAAACAGGCAAGACAGGGATTAAGGCGAGCTGAGATTTGTTGTGTAGGTACTTTTGCGTACCTAACTGTCCGCATATTCTTTAGACCATGAACAGGGGGGGTTCGCAGAGCATGCCTTATATTGCGTACACGTATGCCGATCCCGCCGCAGTCATCGTGCATATTGGGAGAAAGGCATTGGGCTGTAGATCAAGCTCAGTCAGTACCAACTAGAGTAAAACCCCTCTACAAGTAATCCAATTGGGTGTCTGCGATAGATTACCATACAAACCTCCCTAAAACCTTGATATAGGGAAGTTTCATAGATTCATCTAGGATAATCATCCACGTACAGCCCGGCGGTCCGGGCACACAGCCTTCCACTCCCTACTAATAGGCGCCGGCGCGGCGCTGGTAGGGGGATCTCGGGGATCTCGGGGCGCTGGTCGGGGCGCTGGCCGCAGTAAAAAGTACGCCCGGCACGGAATGGAAGACTTAAGCAGCCCCCCAATATAAGCAATTTGAATCACTTGCTGAAATAGTTTCTCATAAAGGGGTTTTTACTCCACAGTAATAGCTTCGCGCTTCGCGGTCCGCTTTCAAGACATGTTAGGGTCAGGTTGATCCTTACCATAAAAACACCGTCTCAGTGGAGCCATGCAGGGTTTAAGGTCCCACAGGTATAAAAGACTATCATATAGATAAATTCGGGTTTTTGAGTGTCGCCTTGGGCTGAGACCGTGAACTGGGATGTTGAACTAGTCCATTCCCTCCAGAAAAAGAAAAGAAAAGAAAAGAAAAGAAAAATGCAAAATAAAAATGGCACTGCTACGCTATACCCCTGGACTTCGCCAGCTAGAGCCAGCGTTTGTCTCCGCTAGAAGAAATTCGCATCTTAGCGTTGACAGTGTTCCCTATCTGCTGGGGGCTTGCCTCTACAGCTCCCTGTTATCTTTGCTTTCATCCTACCTTACGAACAACGCAGAGATGGGCCGGCTGATGAGACCAAATACCCTCCAGCTAGTGGTGTTTGGATTGACTGCGGTTCTTGGACTCTCGATCTGGTCACTATGGCTAGGGGTTAACTCTGATCGAGACAACATCCATCCCTTACTCAACCAACTTATCCCGGCTGGTCACTGTGCATGCCAGACGTCGACTATCTTCAAGTGTGACAGCTGTCTACAGTGCCCTGACCAGCTACCATTTCATGATCCTCTTCCTGAGCCTCAGCCTTTGTTTAACCCTGAAGAGCATTCGTACAATGAAACCAACTGTGCCACTCTCTTCCCCGGTCTCTTTGAAGATCCTATCCGTGCTCACTCTTTTTGGAAAGCCAGAGCCAGGCGTGGAATAACCAGAGCCGATATAGATAATATCGAGATAAGAGGTGGCATGGCCCGGGTAGCAATTTTTCAAGGACGTCTCTATGTTCTCAGAGCTCTTGCCAAAGGGGAGGATCATCGCCGGAAAATTCTAGGAATCTTGGGCTCAATCCATCGTGCCCTTGTCTCGGCACCGCAGTCCGCTGCCTTCTTCAACACAGAAGTGATCTTTTCGGTGGAAGATAAACTGGAGGATGTCGCGGGATCGGGTCATCCTCTCTGGGTGCTGGCACGAAGGGCAACTGAGGAGTCTGTTTGGTTGATGCCTGATTTTGGCTTCTGGTCTTGGGGTCATATCGATAGTCGGATTGGACCTTATGATGAAGTAGTCAAACACATCCGAGAACAGGAGCCCCACTGGGATAAGAAAGAGAACAAACTAGTCTGGCGTGGGAAGCTTAGTTTTGCCCCGAAGCTGCGACGGACACTGCTTGAGATTGCACGGAATCACGCCTGGGGAGATGTGAAGGAGGTGGAGTGGAAGGACAAAGCGAACTTTATAAGTATGGAAAACCACTGTAACTACCGCTTCATCGCGCATGTGGAAGGTATGTTATCTTCTCTCGAGATACTAAAGATGCTATAGACATATTAGCTAAGATTCCCCAGGCCGCTCCTATTCTGCATCCCTCAAGTATCGTCAGGCCTGTCGATCTGTAATTGTGATTCACAAACTACAGTTTATTCAACATCACCACTATCTTCTGGTTTCCTCCGGTCCACACCAGAACTTTGTCCAGGTCGAGAGGGACTGGTCGGATCTACCACACAAGATATCAGAGCTTCTCGATGATCCTATCCAAGCCCAGGCGATCGCGGATAATAATGTAAAGCTATTTCGCGAGCGGTATCTGACTCCAGCTGCCGATACCTGTTACTGGCGCGCGTTGCTGCAAGCGTGGACTACCGCATCCCCTGAAGTCACTGAAACCGTAGTGGACCCGACCAGTGGTAGTGGCCACCGGAGAGGGATTCGATATGAGTCATTTACCTTGTTGGATCCCAGCAGTATGATGCGCTTTGGGTCTTGAGATTCGAAACCAATGTATGTATATAGATCGGCAAGCTTTAGATTGTCCCCGATTTTGAGGGCCGTGGCAGTCACGTGAGCGTCGCATGGGCAAAGCAAAGGGCTTCCTCCGTACTGTTTAGAGGATGAGTGCGTGCGCGGTGAGCCATCCGTCCAACGAACTCACGTGTCGCCCTCATAAAAGCGGCGGCACTTGCAGAAAAACAAATCTGGGATATACTAGGACTAGTACTGAGTAGTTATCGTTACTTTAGTGACGGGAACCCCGTGCAAAGGGCTGGATCCCCCGAATGGTACACCAAAAAGAAACTCACCTCATCCTTCGTCATTTTACACAACCTTCCTTTCTCCCCTTTCCTCATCAAACACTGTCCCTCCTCCTAAGTAGCGCCCATTTCCATTTTCCTTATTTATGATAGTTAGTTTTCTCTCCTGTCATCTATACTTCGTTTTCTCTTAACCCAAGTGCTATACGCGCTTCCGGCTACCGGTCCCTCTGCGGCTGTCAGTGACTGACCCCGTTCAAGGGCGCTCGCGGAAGGCGACCACGTCGAGGATCTGGGGGTTCAGAAAAAAACAATTGACTTTGGATACAAGAGGCCTTTATAAATCCAGGAACTAAACATGGCCGAAGTCGAAAGCACCGTCGCAGACGACTCGTTCGTACAGTCCGAGCCTCAAGATGAGCAGCAAACGCATAACATGACGGTCGGCACGCGACGCCAGGCAAACGGTACGATCGGCTCCGTTTACTCGGGGAACAAAATCAGGCATCTCAAGAAGGAGGATGGAATTCCGTTATGGCGCAAGGACATCCAGCATCAGTTTCTCAAACTGGTCTTCGAAGACAAGACACCCGTCTTCACTCGATGGCCAGACGGAGAGAAGGGCCTGGACTTCGCAGATATCTACATCGATGCTATGGCGAAGAGTAGCAAAACGAGTAAGATTCTGAAGGATAAACTTCAAAACGACAAACAGGCAGCCATCAGCATGGCGATGGTCTGTCTGCTGGTGAACTTCGGACGCATGAATACCACACTCAACTGTATGTTTCTTTCTTCGACTTTTCTCCTCGACCATGCGGGCGTGCCAGTACGCCCGATGAGTTGTTGAAGTGCGATTACTGATTTGTGGCCTTCCTAGTTTTCCCTGAAATGCGAGCTCAACTACGGACTTATCACTCTATCCCTTCCTTGCAAGCGCACCAGGACCCCAATGCCTACAAACAGCTACAAGATGCCCCGCGTCTGAAGTCCATCCTTAAGGGAGCATCAGAGGATTGTGATCAGCCGAACACGCTCGATAAGATCCGACGTCAGCGAATTCCTCGGACAAACCCGGTCCATCTGATCTTCGTTTTGGCCCAGTACGCTCCCAAGGTATCTGAAATGCACTTCTTCCCTCCCCGCGACTTTTTCGATCTGGTCATGAGATCTACACTTAGCAGTAAGAGTCGTGCGAGGGCCTTCTTGTGGTTGATGTGGTGGTATTTGGAGAGTGACTTCTCGCAGGAGGCAGCCCTGAACAACCCATTCGGCCCCGGCCTGGATGGCGAAGGAACTGGGGGTCTGCCAATCAAAGTACCAAACTTTGAGAGCCTCACTGAAGAACAGGCAAACGAAGAAAATGTGGACACACAGTCCGAAATCGAATATGGAGAAGCCAAACGCTTGGAGCGTAAACGTTGGTGTTCCGACATGACTGTTCTTTTTTTGTATCGGCTAACCTAGTGTAGGGATCTTGGAAGAAGAAGAGCCAATTCCTAGGATAACCAAACGCTCTAAGAAAGGTATTTCTCCATCACCTTCCCCGCCCCATAATATGCCGATTCACACTAACCGTACCCCATAGGCCTCCTGGAACCTGGATATGACGATGACCAGGTTTCGGGCGATCTTTCTGGCCGAGGGGATGGTCTTGGAGGTCGTGGATCTGCCATGTCGACTCCATTACACCCCTCGTCCAAACGTTATCCGGATGATGAAGATGACTATCAAACCCCGGGACAATCTGCCCGTTCCCGGTATAAGCGACCCAAGCGGGATTCATCTCTTAATCGTTCTGTTGGTCAGCAGCGCCTCATCCTGAAGACAAAAATGGAGCATACCCCTGACGCTTCTTCTCCGGCCCCTCCAGGTTCTGGTCACCCGATTCTCAATAGGTTTGTTACGGAGCCTTCTTTGCCCCAGCAGACCTCTTCCCGCCGTCCCCGCCCGCTTACCCAGCATCAGCTGGCTGTAGAGCAAAACAGGCGGCAGCGTATTGAATACATCCTCGCCAAGCGGAAGAACGAGGCCTACCGGCTCCTCCGCACGAAACGTGAAACCGAAATTCCGTTCCACCGTTATAATCGCTTGCTACAGAACGTCCCCGATAACTACGACACGGAAGATGAGGAGAACTCGTGGGGTAAGGGGGGCTTGATTCCCAACCCTGAAGAGGAGGAAGATTACGGCGAGTGTGCCAGCTTCTACTTGTCCGTCATTCGTAAAGCCGCAAGGCGACTAGACAGGTGGGACTATGAAGATGCTAATGGCCCGAGGAGAGACCGAAAAAAGGAGAGGGAAGAGCGGCAGAAGGCGAGACAAAGCGGATTTGGTCTTGACACGGAGCTGACAGGGCGTGTGCCAACCTCTGCACGTAGCAGAGCTCGGGCCGCGCGTAATGCCAAGCGCAAGCTCGCCGGTGCGACTACGGATGCTTCTACGGCGGCGACTCCCAAGAATAAGAGCACGTCGGTCTCTCGTTCTAAGAGCAACCGGAGCCGTGCAAGCCGCCCGGCCGGGGATGCACTGGCAGCTCCTGATGGTGCGACTAAGGATAGTCTCGAGGCACCATCTCAAGACCAGGAACTGTCATCGATGCCCGGGGATATGGACGGTGAAGCAGAAGAAGGCCTCGATGACATCGATCGCGAACTTCTTGGCGAAGGAAGCGGTGAGGAGGATGAGGGTGTTTCTCGAGGGCCTCTACCTTCTCGTCCTGTGGAGCCAGGCTACGAAGATAGTTTCATCGGCGAAGGGGGAGATGACGATGCAGACGCGTTGTCTTCGGATGAGAATGATGATGAAGCAGATGACGATGATCTTGAGGAAGGTGATGGTGACGAAAACTCGTCCACATTCGAAGGCGGCAATGGATATGCCGCCAGTGAGGCTTCATCAGTTGCTGGCGATGCCGTTGGTAAAAGCTTGGAAATACGAACGGGAGAGAAAGACGAAGAAAACCTAGGCGATCTTTGAAAATGAGGCTCCTATATTCTCCAGCGTGAAGGAGATGACCGATGAGCTAGTATTTTCCTTGTTATCTGTACCCGATCCTTACCTCTTATTCTATATTTTTTCTCCAATGTTGTTTCCCCTTTTTTCTCTCTCTCTCTCTTTTACTCCTTTGATTCTGTACCGCCATCTCACCTTCGGCTTATTCTTGACTTCTTCGGTCTTGTCTTACTTTATTTCTTTTCTACATGGAATATTCATGTTACTATGGTATCACAGCAAACGGATCCTCTCCATAGTTTGAGAGTATAATAGAATAGATTCAAACTATCTGATCAAAATATACAAGCGAATGATCGTATCCATGCAGAAGTACCGACTACTACTTCGTCGACACCTCATTCGAGGGTTCGAGGGTCACGGGAGGTTAACAGCCAATGATACGTTGTCAATGCATCGAGGCAGCCCTAGGTTGAGCTAGTGCAGAGGTGGCGATATTCCATGCGCTGATGCTTTGGGCATTTACTGGTTCTCCCCAATCGCACGGTGACTCATAGGTCGGGATCCGTCATGAGCATGAAGTGCATACATAGCCTTGAGAAAGCGACCTCGCGATAATTCTCCGGGGGGTGGGTGTATGAGTACTATCTACTACACCCGTACAGTAGTCGCAGGAGGCGCGCTGCAAATCGAGCGGAGAGACGAGCGGAGAGAGGTACAGAAGGCCTATCAGAGTTCAAGTACGGCCTATTTCGCACCAGCCATTGGTCATTACCGGAGGATTCTGTTGGGAGCAATGAAATTGACGTCCACTGAATCTGCAGGTGCTTGTTTGAGGGTTGAGATTTGCATGTGAATTTGACACCTGACTGCTCACTCGATTTGGTTTCCTCCCAACTTTTGAGTCGAAAAGTCGCCCCCTAGCCGCAAAACACGCCGCATTCTTAACCGCAAACACCTCTTCGCGCATATTTAACTATCTTGGGTCATTAGTCTAGAGTCCATATACTTCATTGCACTTGATTCAATCATTTCCCCGACGATAGTTGCCCTCCCTGGCCCCTGCCGAGCCGATCTCGCGCCTCTACGGAGCATCTGCACCGCGTACTCCACTCCGGCGCCTCAACGAACCAATTTCCTCCTTCAACCTCGTAGGATTTGAGCGTCCGTGCAGCAGCCCAGGTGAGAGAGCTTGTGGCACTCACACACCTGCGTGTCTCATTCAAGCATCATCCTGAGCAACCCCTCTTTTCTTTACGAGACATTGCTTGCAGGATCGTCGCTGTTGCAACAGCAGCCGGAGGAGCTAGTTGTGTCGCCCTCGGTCACCCAGAACAGAGCCTGTGCTTCCCACCTCCTGATCCCGCCGGTCTGGAATTTATACAGTAACATTTCCCTCATTTTCGAAGTTCCACTACAGCTTCCCGCCCGTCATGTCTGACAACCCAACGATTCTCCGACCCCGTCCACGACGGGTGTTTGACCTCACTCCAGCCTCGACCGAATCGTCCGAACCCTCGAGCCCTGCGGAACCCGCCAACCCAGACCTTTTGAACCCTAGGGATGCCGGGTCTACCAGTGTCAGTCGGACTGGTTCGATCATGAATTTGACGACCCCGACACTCTATGGGATCTATTCACCGACGGCATTCGAGGGTTCCAGGGACGAATCCAGTCCTTGGGGAACGGAAGCTCAAACGCCAGCCGTCGAAAAGCCAAATCCTCTCACAGTACCGGAAAAGTCAGATCGGTTTACCTTGAAGAGGACACGGTCACGGCTCAGTCACGGGCTATTCCTTGGTGTGATCCTGCCCCAGGCACTCAAGGCCGCTCTCTTGTTCAGCTTTGGCATTGTTTATGGGATCATTACGATTCATTTACATGAGAATCATTGGATTACACCGGTGAAGCTGGAAAACACCCACTACTACGGGTCATGGGAATACCTGGGATTCTGGGGTGTGGCCGGAGTCGTTTTGGGGAATGTGCTTCCGGGCCTGGATCTTTTCTCGGAAGATGTTACGGTTGACAACTCCAAGCAGTCGAGTCGGTCGAGCAGCGACGAAGAGAATGAGGAGCGTACTCTCTCGTGGGTTGCAGCGGTCCGAAGCGTTGGTGCCTTTGTTGGGGTAGCATTTGCTATGGTAAGCTATCCAAATTGCAACCTTTTTTCGTCGGCCATGTTGATTGACTAACATTTCTGTATAGCGGAGGACCCCTTGGCAATCGACTACTCAAGCATCGGCGACGCTCGCTCTCGCAAACCCCGTGCTGTGGTATCTCATTGATCGCACCAAGACAGGCTTCTTCATGTCTTCCATCGTGGGAATAGGGGGGATGGGAATCGTATTGGCACTCAGACCGGATTTAGTACCGTCTTCTACGGGGGCATCCGCCACTGCGATTCCCGCTCTGAACAGCACTTTACGGGATCTCGGATTGGGAGCGGATCTCACGCAAGAAAGCCTTGCCGTCAGGACTTGGGTTGCCAGTGTTTTATTCAGTGCGTGCGTTTGCTTCGGGAACATTGGTCGCCAACTAGCGATTTTTGCGCGCAGGGAATCCCTCCAAGCATAAAGTCACACATGGCAGCAGCATTGAACTTTTAATCCTCTTTATTTCCCAATCCCACTCATTTGAGCGTCTTTGCAGGTTTCCCTCCTTGCGCCCTCCTCGTTTTAAGGCTTGCATTTATTTGTCATATTACTCGGACTTGGTAGTAAACGGTGCTTGAATAGAGCGTCAGCCAGTGTGTTCATTGACAGAACATCACGGTTTTTTAGACTATTACAATGTTGGCACGCCCATTCGTAGAGTTTCTCAACTACACCGTCAGCTTACTACCAGTACTACTACAATGACCATAGCATGGTCGACTCCCGCGCAAGGCAAGATAAGAATCAAAGATAGAATGAAAGAAGGCGTGTAGAATCAATCATTGCAATCCCTTCCACTGAACTCAGAGAGTTCTAGAAGACACTGCACCCAAGATCGACACCCTGCGGTTTGCAGTTCGTCTCCATTCTTTATGACGATTTCCGTACTTCATAGGCATCACCCAATAGGGGATATCCTCGTAGGAACGCTTTTTGAAGAATGTTGATTTTGCGTTGTTCATGTAGAAGAAAAAAGAAAAGGAGAGGAAATTGCGGCCGAGTCGAGCGCAGTTTTGTACCTCGTCCGTTGTGGTGGCCCGTGCGGTTTGTCATGTGATCTACGCGGATTTTTCATTTTTATGTCGCGTTTAGATGAGTCAGCTGGGATTGCTTCCCACTGCATACTATACATAGTACTGATTTAGTGCTAGTTCGCTGGGAGCTGCCCCGCTATGATGTGATTCCAAGACTAAACCATATCGAGCATATTAGTCACAATCACAAGCTCCTGGGCTGCCTCAGGCATGCTGATCCGAAAGCGGCGAATGAACCCCGCGGAAAAGTCCAATTGGAAGGTATACGAAAGAAAGATCGATCAGTCCATTAACCACGAGTCGATCAGAGCTTGATTGAATCAGTCCGAGTTCCAGGAGGCAATTGTCAACCCTGTTTTTACCCTCCCACCAGAAACAGGCCTGCTTTTCAGGTAAATAAGCCTCTTCCCTTCAGTGTTTGTTGTTGTTCTTGTTCCCCGGTTGTGCCCCTCCGACTGCTTGCGGTGTTGATTGTGGAGGGGTCGTGGGGATAAATTTTTCCCCTCCTTCAATTTTCTTTCGCCTTTTTTTTCTTGTCTTTCTAGAGCCTGACCTCGACGTGATCTAGTGTTTCTCGCGATCGCTGTCTCAAAATGTCTCAACAAAAGTCAGGTAAGACTACTGAGTCCATCTTTGCCGTCTGGAACTGCATTGCTTGCCCACGAGTGTGGATGTGGTCCGAATGCTTCCCCACAGTTGACATTTCTGTTACTCTTATGAATATTGAGGCGACCACTGGTTGACACGCGAGATTTACCACAGCTATCCTCTCCGTCTATGACAAGACCGGCCTGCTCGACCTGGCCAAGGGTCTGGCCAGGAATAATGTCCGTCTTCTCGCCTCCGGTGGCACTGCAGGATGATCCGAGAGGCAGGATTCCCTGTCGAGTGAGTTCGTCCCTCTCAACACACATACCTATCAGATAAGATGACAATTGGTGGAGCTAATATATCGAACCTACAGGGACGTCTCTGCCATCACTCATGCTCCCGAAATGCTTGGTGGCCGTGTCAAGACCCTCCACCCCGCGGTCCACGGTGGTATCCTCGCTCGTGACATTGAGTCCGATGAGAAGGATCTGGCCGACCAGAAGATCTCCAAGGTCGACTTCGTTGTCTGCAACCTTTACCCCTTCAAGGAGACCGTCAACAAGGTCAATGTCACCATCGAAGAGGCCGTCGAAGAAATCGATATCGGCGGTGTGACCCTTCTCCGTGCCGCGGCCAAGAACCACGCTCGCGTCACCATCCTCTCCGACCCTCAGGACTACCCCGAGTTCCTCAAGGAGCTCGACGCCGGCGAGATTACTGAGTCTAGCCGGAAGTTGTATGCCCTCAAGGCCTTCGAGCACACCGCAGACTACGACAGTGCCATCTCTGGTTTCTTCCGTAAGCAATATGCGGGCAACGGCGAGCAGCACATTGCTCTGCGTTACGGTACCAACCCCCACCAGAAGCCTGCTTCGGCATACATGCTCGAGGGCAAGCTTCCATTCAAGGCCCTGAACGGCTCTCCCGGTTACGTCAACCTGCTGGACGCTCTCAATGCCTGGGCTTTGGTCAAGGAGCTCAAGCAGGCGCTGGGCTACCCCGCTGCGGCTAGCTTCAAGCACGTTTCCCCCGCCGGTGCTGCCGTCGGCGTGCCCCTGAATGAGAAGGAGCGTAAGGTCTACATGGTTGATGATATCGATGGTATCGAGACTTCTGGTCTGGCTCAAGCTTATGCTCGCGCCCGTGGTGCCGACCGCATGTCCAGCTTCGGTGACATCCTCGCCCTCAGTGACGTCGTTGATGTGCCCACCGCCAAGATCATCTCTCGTGAGGTTTCGGACGG